TACTTACCTCAGTAAGTGGCCCATTACTTGTTATGGGTGACTTTAACTCCCATCACTATAGATGGGGTTCAGATTTTTGTGATAATATGGGTAATGAGCTAGTTGAGATGCTGGACGAACTCGATCTGTGTGTCATTAATGATGGCAGCCCTACTCGTAGGTCTGCATTTGGTCAAAGAAACAGCTGTGTGGACTTGACCTTTTGCTCGCCTGTTATGGCTAGCGTGCTAAATTGGAGTTGTTTAAATTTGACCTATGGTAGTGATCACTACCCCATCATAATTAAACACCTGTCAAAATCCATCCCAGATAAACCCCTTCCCCCCCTATTAAGATATCGTTTAGATTCCGCAGACTGGGATCTTTACTCTAAATTATTAGACCTCCGCATTTCTCTCCTTCCACCAGTTAACAATGAGAATTCTTTGGAATGTTTCTCCAAATTTTCCGACCTGATATCCTCCACAGCCGAAGATTGCTTTCCTGTGAAAAATGCACCGAAAGGCAATATCCCTTCTCCACCATGGTGGGATAGTGAATGCACTGCCATGATAAGAGCTAGGAATGCGGCTGAAAAGACATATAACCAAGATATGAACCTGGAAAACCTCCTAAATTTCAAGCGAATTTTGGCTAAGTCAAGGAAATTGTTCAAGAAAAAGAAGAGACAAGGGTGGCAGAGATATTGTGGTTCACTAAACCCATCGACACCAATATCCAAAGTTTGGCAGAGAGTTAAAAACTTTAGGAACTCCACCAAACCTCCCACTATCTCCACCTTACCCGAATCTCTGAGTAACAGTTTTTTCAACCACATTGCTCCAACGTATGTTCCTACTGCAGATGAATGCTGCCTGAAATCCCATGAGATTGAGCGACCCGAGTCTCATGACCCGCTCGATTTGGAGTTCTCACCTGAAGAACTTCAAACGGTACTCAATCATGTGAAGGACTCGGCACCAGGGATTGATGGGTTCCCCTACTCATTCCTAACTAAAGCAGGAACTAAAGCGAAGCAATACTACCTTGACTTGGTCAATTTTTGCTTTATTTCAGGCTATATTCCTCCTACCTGGAAGGTTCAGGTTATTATGCCGCTGTTAAAAGCTGGCAAGGACCCTGGTGACCATTTGTCGTACAGACCTATTGCCCTATCGTCCATACTTATTAAAACTTTTGAACACCTCATCAAAAACCGCCTTGAATGGTTGGTTGAGAGCCAGGGGCTGCTTCCGGCGACTCAGTTCGGCTTCAGGAAAGGTCTGGGTACGGCTGACAGTGTGGGTACCCTCACTTCAGCCATCCGACTGGCCCTTAGCAGGCAGGAGTCGTTGGTCGCAGTCTTCTTGGACATCTCAGCGGCCTATGATTCTGTCCTCTTACCCCTTCTCAGGCAGAAACTGCAAAAGCTGAGAATCCCGAGTAGGATCTGCCGAATTATAGCCCACATCCTTTCCGATCGTACCCTCCAATTAAGAACTCCTGAGGATAACCCAGTACGGAGGTCCTCCTGGAAAGGTTTACCTCAGGGGTCAGTCCTTAGCCCCATCCTTTATAACATTTATACATATGACCTTCCCTCCTGTCTAAATTTTAACTGTAATGTCCTTCAGTATGCTGACGATATCGCACTAATGGTTACTAACAGCTCTATAACAGACGCCGCCCACTCCATCAACGTCTCTTTGGCCTCATTAAACCAATGGCTTCTGAATCACGGGTTATCTTTAAGCGCCCCAAAAAGCTCAGCTGTCATTTTTACACGCAAACGACGCACTCCGGATCTTCGTGTAGAGATAGACGGTCAGGATATCCCAATCAAAAGCAGTGCTAGATTCTTGGGGGTTTATCTCGATTCAAAGATGTCTGGGGCGGATCACATAAACACTGTGGTTGCAAGGTGTGAACGCTCAGTATCGATACTCAGAGCTCTGGCCGGGGTATGGTGGGGTGCACACCCCTACTCATTGAAGCTCATCTATAATGCATTGGTCAGAAGTGTAATGGACTACTGTTGCTTCCTTATTGTTCCTTGCAATAAGGGTGCATTAAAAAAACTAGACTCCATTCAGGCCAAATGCCTTAGAATAATTATCGGAGCTATGAAATCATCCCCCATAAATGCTCTTCAGGTTGAATGTGTAGAGCCTCCCCTCAACCTTCGAAGACAATACCTGGCAGACCGCTTCATCTCAAAAGTCCTCTCCCTCTCATCACACCCCCTTCTTCCTATCCTAGAACAAATCCACTGTTCCTATAGGTCCTCTTCCTACTGGAACAATAAACCTGTCCCTCCCGTGATTGTCAGGTACAGGGAGCTTAAAAACCTCTCTGCACCCATCAGGCAATATCCTGTACTCCCGGTTTTCTCTTCCGCATATGAGGTTATCCACTTCAAGCCAAAGGTAATTCTAGGACTCGGCATCTCGAAATCCTCCGTAGATGCTGCGGGCGAGTTTGGGCGCGCTTTGAACAGTTACTGGAGGGGCTGGAATATTTTCTTCACCGACGCGTCTAAACTATCCCGAAATGGAAGTACAGGAGTAGCAGCGTACTTTCAAAATTCGAAGATCGCCCTCCTCTCCAAGTGTCCCCCGGAAGCATCTGTCTTCACGGGAGAATGTGTTGGCATTTTAGAATCAATAAAATTTATTAGAGCACACAACCTTAGAAATTCTGTTATTTTTTCCGACTCCCGAAGTAGCCTACAGTCTCTCAACCAAGACCAGCTCCATTCCCGAACTCATAGCAGTTTGGTTGTAGAGATAAAGGCGCTTCTTTTTTCTTGCTTCAAAGATGACATAAATATCGAGATCGCTTGGATTCCTGGTCACTCTGGCATATGTGGTAACGAGTGTGCGGATTCATTGGCCAAATTTGCGGCCTCGAATGAGGTCGAACGCCAACACTACGTTGTGTACGGGTATGATATACGTGCCGACACAAAACACAAGCTGTTTGACTCATGGGCTGCAGTGTGGGTAGAAACTTCCAAACGGAAAGGTGCCTACTATGCAGTTGTCCAGCCCGGCATCCGACGGAAACCTTGGTTTTCCAAGTACCCTAAGCTTCCCCGTCATACTGTTTCATCCTTGTGTAGGCTCAGACTCGGCCATTGTAGTAGTCCGGTCTTCCTCAACAAGATCCGTGTCCGCGACAGCTCGCTGTGCGAATGCGGCCTTGATGAGGGAACCTTAGAACACATATTTTTTTCGTGTCCTTTAAATTCCCAATCCTTTGACCTCTATAAAAAACTTCCCAGTATCCAAATCCCACTCCCAATCAGTTTCCACCTCCTTTTAACTCACTTTTCCCACAAAGTAATTATTTATATATGTAAATTTATGAATGAAAATGTGATCAAAATGTGACGGTGTCCAATGATGTATATTATCTGTCTATATTGTGTATGTCCCCCAACTATTTTTTACACCACTGTATAATACAGTAAAATAGTTGATAATGTTTATGTTTTACTAACCCAATTGTTTTGTCCTTTCAGCTACTAACAACTAAAAACTACCGCAAAGTTAAGTTCGACGGTCCAATAATTTTGCCGTCACCACTCGACACTGGCAGTATAGTCGACAACACCATTTTGGAGACTCAGTTGCCAAAGAAGAAGAAAAAAAAAAAAAAATATCTGAAATAAATAATGAATCAGTGACCAAATCTACATGTTGACAAGAGCCAGAGACCCCCACCGGCCACGATGCTCAGCTCCGCCTCACCGTCGCCGGCACCCACAGAATCACCGGTGACGGCAAGCAGTTGCGTTAAGCTCAAGCGACATTTCTCCCCACCGATGTAGGCCGAAGAAAGGTCGGTCACCGATGGGGTCGGAAGCTTGGGGCCAACAGGATGGGCCTCCGCTTCCAGAGCCAGAAATAGACTCAATCTATAAGAATGTCATACGCTTATACTACGCTAAGCTAGCTAAGAGAGGAACTGACCTCACTGCGTAACGTGCCGCTTATGTTTCAGCAGCTTCAGCCATCCGTGTCTCGGCCCAAAATAACGGGTGTATTTTCCAGATTTCCCTAAATTTATATAATAAATTTAGGGAAATCTGGAAAATACACCCAACATCCTGATGCACTTCTATTGTTGCCATTATTGGCATAAGCCAGATATAGTGATGATAGACCGACTAGCCGGAATTATGATTATTCCTCATTACGAGAACATGGGGAAACCTGGTAAAGCACTAGAATTTTCTCCTGAGCAGTGGGTGACTATACAAATATATAAGTTCACATACACATGACACCCATATTGGGTCTTGGCTTGCGCTATTATTAAAATGTGGAGTGGACTCGACTCAACAACCACCTTAGGAAGCTAACATTGGGCGATTGGATAGGTCCTGATATAGAAGGCAGTTCTTTTTGGCATGCCACGCATCGTGAGGAGATTCTTGCCTTAGAGGCCTTAACCACCGCCCACCGGTAGCTTGGACCATGTTCCCGCTACTGGTCAGCTGGTATAAACATTTTTTAATAGTCATTAATAATGTAATTTTAGAGTTATTTAATAAATAAATATATAGAATATAGAAAATAAAGTTTAAAAAATAAATAACGGTAATTTTAATTTGGTGACGATTCTTTTAAGAAGTACATAATATGTATGAGCAGTGTAACCTTGGCTGTCGCCGAGTCGCTTGATGAAGAGTACATCGTCCGTCCCCTTCAGATCAGTCTGCCACACTTGAGCTCCTTCGTATGAGACCTTTTGTGCAGACGACCCATAGATTGCTGGATAGAAAAACTGAATCAATATGACAATCTACAAAACTAATATATTTTCCGTTTTCACTCACCTACAGAGAAGAAAATCCAATATACATTTACAAAAGGCATTTCATTTAAATTTATTACAACTGAATGTTATTGAACATTTTCATTACTGATAAAAGTTTTATTGATCGTGTCGAGCCTAGCAGTTGGCTTTGTGAAAATGTATTCTATTCGTTTCACATAAATAATAACCAAAGATGATGCAAGTTATATATGTTTATTAACATTACTATATACAATCATTGTAATTTGAAAATAGAAAGATTTCATTTTCGAACTCACATAAATTTATTACAAATGTGACAATTATTAAAACATTAGGCTTGGTGTTACACATTATTGCTACCAACAGTACCAACACACTATGTTATTCCATTCTGTGGCATACAAATAAAATAAATGCCACCAAATATTAAGCTGTTGCAACACAGGTCATCGCATTACTTCATATATCATTGGGTCTCTAATAAGTATCACAATTAATTCACTTATTATAAATAAATTATAAAATCGTCAACTCAGCGTCTATTCTCAATTATTTCAGTGTAAAAACAATGTCAAAAACGATTCACTATTAAATCTGATCACATGGTCCATTGTGCATAAAAACGCAAAACTATGCTTTTTACCAAATGTTTTCTTATTATTATCATCACGATAGACACAATCATCACCAATTAATTGTCAATGGAAATGACACATATTAGTCTATTTATTATGTCTTCTAATGAAAGTACATAGTTTTTTTAAGAATACACTTTATATGCTAATAAATAAGCATCTCACATGTTTTGTAAATGAGTGATTAGACACGGAACCAGCGTTTCACCTCATAATTGGACATTAATGATCACTCACAATAATTCATCAATAACAATTTCGAGTCAACGAAATGGCCAGAAGGCTACAAACATACGATAGCGTTTCACAAGTTCACTAGTTCATATTAAAGTAGCGTGTTCTGTATGTGAAGCGCGCGCTCCTGCGCTAGTCGGCGTCCCCGTTGGGTACGGTGAGCGGCTCCTCGTCCTCGTTGTAGTCCAGCGACAGCACCGAGGCGCGCCTCCTCTTGCCGGGCGGCGTGTCGCTGCAGTCGCTGCCCGAGTACGTGCGCTTCTCGGGCGAGGCGGCGCGCGACGCCGTGCGCGTGCCGTTCACTGTGGCGTGCGACGCGCGCAGCTCCTGTTGCAAGAACAGCACCGTACTCTGCATGCCCTCCACATCCTCGTCCAACTCCTGCAGAAACTCGTCGAGTTCTGGAATTACAAGTTAACGTGTTACATTACATTTATAGAGCAATATTTGTGGATGTTATGCTTTACATGCATGCAGCGACACAGACCTGATTGTGATTTTTTAACTTCTTCGCTAAAGCTTTTCTGTAGTGCTAGATCGCCTTCTAACTTAGCTATTCGCCCACTTGAAGTCATACGTCCAAGGTCTTCATTTTCTTGGTGCAACAGCCTGCATTTTGCCATAAGTTTTTTGCCAGTGTTTGAGTCTGGTGTGAATTTCCATGCAGACAGTTCATTCTGAGTTTCTTCTAATCTCGCTTTAGTTGATGTGAGTTCTTGTTTTAACCTTAAAATTAGTACATTGACTGCTGGATCTAATAGGGTCGGCCGTCCATTGAGACTCGCATGGGAAGACTTTAATTCCGTAATTTGACTCTGAAATGAAATGAAATCTAATTAATATTGTAAATCTAACAAATTTACTTGCATGTAATTCTGCCAAAAATTGGTCAGCTAGCTATGTACCTAAATATAATGAGTACTTACAACATAATCTTGTATCTCTTGCTCCTTAGCTGCAAGCCGTCTAACTAACACCTTCTCTCTATGTTGGGACTCAGCATACTGCTGTTTTATTCTATCTTCTACCTCTTTCGCCTTTTCCAGGCTTCCTGTACACACCAATCATATAATTAATACCTTGTATTAGAGTGTAAGCACATCTTGTTTGTTCACATTATATTATTCCTGCAATTATACAGTTTGGTACGGACATTGTTTAATGTCACATTTCATATCAGTGAACCCACTTTAAATGCATAACATTTTGTATATCATGTGATGATAATTTTACACTCCACAACTGATAAGATAAGGGGTTATCTAAAAGTAGTAATATTGTCGACAAAATGTTATGCACTTTGTGTGGTTTGTTGATTACAATATTCAAATCGACAACACCTTAACTAAAGTATACAAACGACAACAATAATAATAAAAATTCCAATATTTGAACATTAAATACTATTTCAACCAACATTGGTATTGTTTGGTAAATGTGACTGGAGCAGAAAAGTTATCTGTTGAAAGGCAGGCAGTGCAACCTTTAATTTCAACAAGAGTACAACTCAAGAAAGTCAGGAGGAAGTACAGGACTAAACAATGAATTTAAAATTCATAAATTAATTATATTATGAATTCTCACATTACTACAAGAAGACTACAATAATAAAGCAAGTTTCCATATCCAAAATCCAGGTAGAAGGTAAATAGGCAGACAATCATTAATGGAAAAAATTCCTACATTTTTTCTTAAAAATATCAAACCAACAGACTGATCCGTAATCATAAAATAGTCTTATAAGAATTTGAAATCCTATTCAAAAATTGCAGATTGTGGGAACAATTTTGTCGAATTATTTCTAAGAAACTTTATTCTAATCTGATACCAAAATTTGTTAAGAAACTTAAAGAGTCATTCCACAAGGAAAGACCACCAATAAAATATTTTGTTAATCGGTAATCTCTCCATAGACTTCAAGTCTTTCAATAAATATCATATTTTATAGATATTCCTGATGAAATTGTTTCCTTTTAATTATCTATTAATAATTAAACAGTAACAGTTAAGAACAAATAAATATTTCTATTAAATTAGGTACAATATTAGATACTACTACCTAAAGTATTCTAGTTTATTTTCAATCTTAGTAAATTATTCTTTTTGTATAATATATAATTTTTGCTAATAAGACTTGCATAATTTATTAGCTTTATTGAAGTTATAGGTGATTTACCAAATCAGTCTAAGATAGTATCAAATAATATATATTGTCCAAGTAAATGTTACTTTTTGTCTGTTTTATTCTTGCACCATACATTTAGGTGCAAAAAAGAGTCATTACATGTAACTGCAAAAATTTTGTAACTGAAAATCACATTTTCCCGCATGTCTATTAGAAATATGATACAAATTGAAAATATTAGTTTATTACATAAAAGAACTAGAATTTACAAATAAATTATATTTGTAGATTTTATGAAGACCAATTAAATTTTAATCAGTACATCCACCAAATGTTTGTTTTCAATTACCTAAATATTAAAAAATTACTTGTTTTGAGGCCATGTTTATCAGTTCAATAACAACTAAAAATAATTATTCCGAATCTGAACTAGAACAATAATTTCAATATGATTTAGCAGTATATTTAAGATATAAAGCATATTGAAATGATTACCTAACTAGGTATATTATTAACATTCAGCATTCGACATAAAAAAACGATGTTTTAGACTTTTTAAGTAGTCTTATAGATAGAACTGAAGTTGAAACTGAGAAATGTTAGTCATAATGGCTAATAAGCTATGAATATGGTTTAGTTTATATTTATTTATGAGATACATGCAATGACTCACAAGCCAGGCAGCAGAATAGATTATAGAGCATTAGTTTAAAGCTGGCAAGAGAAACAGAATGTGTTTTATACCAGAAACAAGATATGAAGCAGACTACACATGTAGCATACTGTAGTATACAGCTTAATTGTATAATAAACTTGCATGTTTATTTCTTGTTTACCTTTTTCTAAATTATTCCTATAATTGTTTAACATGTTATCTTATCATCCGCTGTCCAACTATAGAGCAATATAAATATTATTTGTAGTAAAATTGTTTTGTCACAGCTCTAGGTTTAAGATAACAACTATTAACATTATATTTTTTTGTTAATAACATTAATTACACAATAATTCATAAGTAACAATAACAATACTTGAAGACAAAAGATAAATAAAGCAAATACAAAATAATATCTTAACTATACAGCAAAAGAAGTGATGAAAACATATTTACTTTTTCATGTGAGCATAGACCGGACCACTCGGCAGGCTCGGTTACCGAGGGTAGCGCAACATCACTGAACATGGACACACCTCCAGGATCATCTGGAGACATCACACGGCTCTCTGCCGATAATTGCACTTCCACTAAACACTCCACTGGCACCTCTCTTACACGGGAAAACACCATTTCTTCGTCTTCACCTTTTATAACTTAAAGCACCTAAATACACCCGTACACCATTCCGTTTTATAACTAAACAATTTTCATTATCACAGTAACATTTCAATATGTCATATCAGTATCACTAGTTAATTTTTAGTTAAAGTATTGTCGATATAGAGATAACAAAACAACTCGCGGGTCGAGCGTCGTAACGTCGCCGACCTGACGCTACCAAGCCGATGTAACTTTCTTAAATACCTTCCAACTGTTTGTTCAACGTTTCAAGATGGTCTATGTACAAGTCCTGGTTTCTCCACGCGGCGCGGAGCGAGTCTGCCGCGGCGGCGTCGAGCTGGAGCGGGGTCATTAACACGCGGGCTATGCTCGAGCCTCCGCCACCTGCTCCCACATCACACGACGCCTCGCCATGCCGCTCGGTCTCCTCGGACATTTCACTCTTACTAATACGTACTTTAAGAGTCCCTTTTCAACTGCAAGGAAACAACCAAAGTTAATCCTACAAAGAGATTAATTTGCATTCTCCGCCGTTATCAAAAACCTGTCGTAACGTAAACTGTCATTATCAACAACGGTCGGGATACTTACGGTTTCTACGAATAATAATTATATTTTCTTTAAATTAGAAATAACTATTACATACAATAACTATCACACCACACACTAAAACTATTTCTAATATTTTACGAGGTCATCAAACGAAACAAGACAGACGCCATTTTATCGCATACTACTATAGGGTGACCAAGTTTTTCAAATGTATAAATGATTATATTTATGTAAAATTATTTTATTAAAAGATTGTACCTTTTGCTAAACCAGAAATTATTTAAAATATTGTTTCGTATTATAAATGAAAATTGTAAGAAAGACCTAGAGGACTGATTAATATTAAAATTTTTCTGTGGCAACATTAATAGAGATGATCTAGAAGTTAGTTTTAATATTACGGTTATTAAACGGTAAAATTCTTGTACGATTTTAAAATTACAAACTATAATGTCTAATTTTATTTAATCATAAATTGAATAATTGAAATTTTGTAATTGTATAAATGAAAAATTTAAGATTCAGCTTAAAAAAATTACAATGATTTTACCCACCCATAGACACTGATGTTCTCTGATTCTGTTTGACATTGACAGTTAGTATTGGTATCTGGCGCGAAATTTTAAATTGAAGTTTGGAGTATTTGCTGCTTTTTGTTAAATTCATTTGTTTCCTCACCCGACCGAAATTATTTATTCCTAATAATATTGACATGCAATTGTTCGGTCGGCGGTTACGCATTGCCATAAAACGTGGCAAAGCTTCCTGTAATTTTGCAATTATTAAATTAATGAATCACTACTTAATCTTTATTTAGTGACCCCTCTTTGTTACCATCATCAAAGATAGTTTTATGTTACAGGTACGCATTGTCATACGCCGTATCCTTGCTATAAAAATGAAATTTAATATTTAGAAGTGTTAATAGATATGCTATTTGGACAACAAATCATTGCATGTGAAGGAAATCTATCCGTCCTGATTCCCATTATCTACAATAACGCAGAATAAAAAAATGTAATCATTTCAAGAAGAATTTGATTACATGGTGTGATGAGTAGGTATGACATAGGATAAGATGAACTGAATGGATATTGGAAGAAAAAGACTTTTATATATTACCGACTCCAAATGATTTGGCACAAGGGCAGGAAGAAGGAAATGTCTATGCAATGAAAAATGCCAAAACCAAGTTCTAACGCGGTTTGATAGAAACCTACTTGAAATAGATGGACATCAAATAGCTGTGTAGGTACTCGTAGCAGGTACTCATAGCTTTTTAACTATTTTAGTGCGGTTAGTTGGTATGATATCCTCTGATTCTAACTGAGTCTTGACTCATAAGTACCTACTCCAAATCCCAGCATACCTAATCTTATTTATTTTGTGTTTCTGCGCTGGGATTCGTGTGTTATTTAACCTTTGCTACTTACACCGAAAGACCCCACTTTTTAAAGCGAGTGGGTATATAACTACTTATATTTGATAGTCACCTACAGCTATTATCATCAAAACATAGTATAAAACAAAGTCGCTTTCGCTGTATGTCCGTATGTATGCTTAGATCTTTAAAACTACGCAACGGATTTTGATGCGGTTTTTTTAATAGATAGAGTGATTCTTAAGGAAGGTTTGTATGTATAATACATGCATATTGCACCCGTGCGAAGCCGGGGCGGGTCACTAGTTACCTATATATACGAATTTAGTTCTCAACAGTTGCAAAATGTTAGGTAAGTATCATCAAGATCATCGGTATGAAAATAAAATATTGTTACGAAAAGTTTATTAAGTAACATAATATAACATAACATAATATCGCGCCTTTTATTCCCGAAGGGGTAGGTAGAAGTGCACATTATACCACTGTACAATGTAACACCCACTTTTCACTATTTATGTTATGAGTCCCATGTAATAGGGGGTGAGCCTATTGCCATATACCGGGCACAACTCCAGACTCCGTGCTACTACTGAGATTTTTTTAAAAACCCAGTAATACTTTGCCCGACCCCCCGAATCGAACCCGAGACCCCTTGCCAGGCAGTCGTCAGTCGCACTTGCGACCACTCGGCTAACGAGGCAAGTTTACTAGGTATAGGTATTATTATATTATTTGTATAAAAGTGCTCGATTTATGTAGTTGAATGATTCTCCAAAAAACACAAAAAATTAACGGCATAATTATCTTCAAGGCATAGTTAACAATGGTGCTGATTGAAACCCAAAAACTGAGCCGTGTCACTGTTTTTAACCAATCCAATAAAATACATAATTATATGATGATAATAAGTTACTGTGGTGTTTAACAATGCGGGAAAATAATTATTATTAGTTAAATAAAAGTTAAAGTTTTTCGAAGAAACATCCAGTTAGTACTAGTGGTCACCTATTTTTTTTGGAATGAAGACGAGACGGAGTGCCTACTGATTCTAAAAAAGAAACAGTTCTACAACATGGAAATGTGTTTTATTCACATTGTGTAGAAATATTACCTATTTACTTACGTAGTTTTGCAGTTTGGTTTTCATAATATCTGGTCCAGTCTCATATTTCAAACTAATATGTGTGAATAAAACAAAACCTGCTTAATTTTTAATTTAATATTTTATTACTTAATTCATTAATTTAACAATTAACATCTAATTAATGTTTAACATTAATTTAGTTGGAATTTCTTATGAACTATTAAAAATAGAGATGTGTCGACTATCCGTTGTTTAAAATATTTGTTAGGAGTATGTTCTAGGTTTTCCTGCCCAGTACGAGAAGTAATCGTTTAAGTAGTACCTACTTAACTTTACGGGATTGATAAGATCACTTCAAATCCACTCAAAGACAAAGGCGGTAGGAAAGAAGATTGCATACAGCAGAAATGACTATGTGTATATGCTAGCTACGAAAGATTGTGATGTGTCTTGCCGAGATTGATTATGTTTAATAAGAAATCTTGAGAGTAATTAGTTCCAGTAATGGGAAACTGAAAACAGTCTAAGTTGGACAAGATCTGTAAGACATGACGCTGATTTGTATCACGGAAAAATAACAATCTTAAGCACTAAGTAGTGGGCTAGTCATAGTCGGCACATCTCTAATTAAGAATCATTGAACAGATCATTTAAGTATATCACAATATATACAACATAATGTTTTTGTTCACAATTGGAACGGAATATCAATATGGTCTCCAAACTTCTTGGTTTCCCGCACCATAGAGGCCATGTTTCACTTCGTCGTTGCCATCACAGCTTTGAACCATACCACTAGCCTCGCCAGTTCCCTGTAGCTCCGTGGTTATAGAGATACCTCCATCGATATCGCTGATCTTAATTTCGCTGGGAAAACATTGTTCTAAATTGTGTTTATCGCCAGAACTGTGTAGATGGACATGTATTTGATTTTGGTTGACTGTTGAGTAAAGGTTCGGAAGGATCATCTGCGGGTTGTACGGTGCATGTGATTGTATGCAGGTTGGATTATTGTTTATGCTATTGTATTGATAGTTATTGTAATTATAGGTGTTGTTTGGCCAGGAGTTGTAGTAGTTGGCGTCGTATCGCTGCGTCGGTAGTGCTGGAGGTGAGTTGAGCTCGGTAAGCGCAGCTCCTGTGCTGCTTGGACTGCCCTTCACGAAACCTGTCGTGGTTGGTTGGAAGCCAGTGTACTCTGTGTGGCCAATCGGGATTTCAGGTAACACTGCGAAAGATAGAAAACGACAATAATTAATAGATAGACTTTGGAGTATGATCAAAGATTTCAAGAGGGTTTCATAATCATAGGACCTGCTTATTTAAAGGAAATGCATAAATAAGCAGTATTTAATATTTTTACTTTTTTATCTAATCGAAATAATGAGGTGCGAAGGATTCTAGTTCATAATAATTGAATAATACAAGAATTATAGGTATGTGGTAGTTCGGTCCCTATCATGTGGTCAACCGCTCCATTACGGCGGGTAACCACGGCTTGAATGGAGGAAGTCCGTTTATCAGTACCTATTTAATGCGTGACGCAAATTGTAACGGTGTAAGAAACAATAACATTTAATTACCTAGATGTTTTGCCTGTAATTGATACACATACATAAAAACAAGTAATAAATTTTTTCATGAACTCTGTTCTACCAATCAACTTCTTTCGTTTGAATTTCGTAATGGAGGTAGTTGTGGAAATAAATACTTAGATATATTGCATGGTCATCAAGATAAAGAGTGTGTACTAATAATCAGAATGATTTATCGTCACGAAGAGTGTGAAATTCTGATTATTATAGACAACAAACAAACGGGTCCTGCTAAATAAAACCACTTAACACAATACGAACATAGGTAGCCTATTGGGGCTTATTTTGATTTGAAAGGTAGGTACCTACATAACTCAAAGGCTTTGTAATCCTGTAAAAGTTCGCCATAGTATTAGGATACACCATTGTACAGGACATTCGTTTTCAGCAATCTTCTGACCATGAAGGCGAGAAAAGTCTATTTGTAATAAATTATGTCATACTTTCCAAATGAGACAATAACCTATGCATGCAATCAAAAATAAAATGATTCACAATTTCATTTTCGTCAATTGATGACTAAAATTGCGTCTGATGACAAATGTATCACAATGCAATGATACAAATAAGTTACAAATTAAAGAGGTCGAATTTGTTGTCTGGTGCTGGTAGAAGGTTAAATCTTTATAAACTGCGGTTAATGAAATAATGAGTAACATAATACCTACCTATGTATGGGTATAACTAAAGGCCATAACAACTTCATTTGCTTACTTTTCAATATCCTGTCATATAAGTATGAAATAATCTAATGAGCTCTTACAAATAAGTGCTAAAGAAACTAACTTTGGACATACTGAGTCGACTCCAAGTAACCGGGGGGGCTTACTCTTGAATCCAATTCCGATCGATCGACATTGGTATTGTGAAATTTCGTATTCTTGAGTTGCAAACACTAGCGCCCATTGCATCCTTATCGCGTGGATATTTAATCATCTAAATGATATTGAGTTTGGCTTTATATTCCGTACTAAGATTGCTATTTTAACAGCTACGATAGAGGTTGTATAGTTTTGACATCGAATAATTATTGAGATTGAATTTGCACTGACATTGAGATTGGTTTCAAGAGAGAACCCTGGAATAAAGTTTACGTATAAGATAAGAAATAAGGTAAGGAGATTAATGAATTAATTTTTGAACTGTTATTGTAATGAAT